GCCCAGCCCAAAGAACACCAGATGGCAACTGACCATAGTGAAATTCAAGAGCACTGTATCAGCTACAGTTCCAGCAACAGCCCAGGCACTTCGGAGAAGTAAAATAAACCCTTTCATGTGCAATTGATGTTGCAATTCAAGGCAGCTGTCATCCACATGTACCATGAACCTTCTTCCAAACATGTAACATTTCTCGTCTTCTTTAAAATGAGGCAACTAAGCTCAGAAGTTGCTGTGGCAATGAATTCCACAAGCTAGTGATACCCTTCAAAAGGGCCAGCAGGCCAGAAATTATCTGTGTGTGCATTCCAATCCCCAAAGAAATAATCTGATTGCAAAGACCACTGAAGGAGGTAGGAATGCTTCAGTCCATCCCTGTGAAAGCAAAGGATAATGCATAACTCTCAAGATACAGAAAAGCCCCCACCGTAGCTATGCTGAACATTTACAAAAGCCCTTTGTCCCAGCAAGGACATGATCACTAACATTTACAAGCCCTGTTTGAAGCAAGCAGGCAAGCAAGTCAGAATGTACCACAATATAAGCTAGAAAAGGTTTGCCATTGTTCTTTAGGGTCTGCTACTCCCCTATTTAAAATGTTCCAGTCACTGGACCCTCTATGAGATTTGCTTCTCATACTGTCGCAGAGGATGTCATCATACCCATCTCACTCGAGGAGGAGGCAGTAACAGGGTTCAGCACTTGCTCAGGAAGGAGTTATCTTTCACCACAACCCAAGTGTGCAAAATTCATCAGAAGGCACAGAATATATAAGCGTGTTCCACTTGATTCCCTTTTATCCAGCTGTATCTCTTTTATCTGTTAAGTATTGCTTTAATTCTTTTCTGTAGAAGAAAGCCTCTTATCAGGGCATATTTGGCATAGAAGACTGCATTTCACTACAACGGATCCTTCCAGGCTGCCCCTATGTGTGTTAGTTAAGTTGGACTGAGTACTGGGGAAAAAAAAAGTTATTCCCGTGTGGAAAGCAAGCTGCACCGCTGGACACTGTTTAGATGCAATAGAGACCTTCACTCAGTTCCGCCTGCTCTAACCTTTACACTACTCATCTTCGTTTTGTCTTCCTCCCAATTACAAAAATTAAATTTCTTTTTCCCTGAAAAGATGAAACTTTGAGGTGAATTAGAGGGATCCTTTTCCTAAGAGGACAGGAGGACATTGAATTTCAAATTACACGACAGATTGGTGTATTTCAGGAAAATGCTGACCATAGCTGGTTTTTTACCTAGAGACAGAGAGCAGATTTGCTGTCAGTCACAGCATGAATTCAAAGAAAAGACTTCAGCACTGCAGAGCGGTATCTGGATCCCTGCTCATGTAATCAAGATCAGAAACTGTCCCTTTGTCACTCAGTTAAGAGTCACAATGAAGCACTAACTGCTCGATCAACTAAAGGACACGGCTGAGCTCCTGCAAACACAAGGCTTTTGGGAATGGTGGCCAAGCCTTGGGCAGCCTGGTGAGGAGTAGGGGGCATTGAAGGCTAAGTCTTCTGTGATTCCAGCCTGTCTTAATATTCTACTGTGCTTAGAAAACAAAGCACATACCAAGAAACAAAAGAAAAATAAAACAATATTGCAGCTAACAATACAGTTTCGTTTCAAGACGACAGATCTGAAGGTCAGCCCAGGGACATGAATGTCAGCAAAGCTCTAGCAGAAGCAGCACAGTCTGTCATCACTCGTGGCTGAAGAGGTTCATATCCCTAATGAAGGAACTAGAACTAATATGAACTCGATCCTTCTTTTTCTCAGCAATCCATGTCACTCAGATGAGGTTCCTAGCAGCATATTCAGGGTTAAGAACACTGACAGTTGTGGGAAGCATTTGTGAAAATAACCGTGGTTCCCAGCTTCCCTGCTTTCATAGATTAACGAGTTGGCTCGGTCCATGAGGGCAGTCACATTCTCAAACTCTGCAGTAAGAAGAAAACTGGACTTCTCTTTTCTTCAGTTGGTAGCTTTTTAGTGACATATCCTGTCTGTCATCTCCTTCTGTAAAACAAGAAGGGGCGATTGAAAAGCAACTGGCATTTGTGATAAAGTGTGCACACACCTCTTCCCCGTTAACACGCATCTCTGCAAATTCATGTGCCATTCAAATTTTATGTGTCACCATGGCTCCCCTCCTCTCTGTCACTTTGAAAGACAATGAACACAACCGGCAATCGGCATTAAGCATTTTGTCTTTTTTTGACAGCTTAAATATCCTACTAATTCCCTAGCCACGTCAAGTAAATGGTGCTGCGTCCCACAAAAAATAACTAACTCACCTCCAAAAGCAAGAAACTTTTAACTGTAAGGTAAGAAAAGGGATTCCAGTCATTGTCCCCTGAATCTGCAGCCAACAGCAAACATGCAGACACCTAGATTCTTTACCTAGTTATTTCTGCCTACACATGGACACTGAAGGCACACAGACATCTTGGCCAGACCTGACCAGAGCTGTGGCGTTTGTCTCCAGGATCTGATTTACAGGCACAACCTCCCTGGTAACCGGCTGCCCTATTCTATAGAAATCCTCATATTTGTCAGCAGGTTTTCTCAAAAGATCTATCTGATAGTCTGTCCAACACCACCCACACACACAGCAGAAGTTTGCGCTGCTTGCTGTCAAGGCTGAAGGGCTTCTGCACTTAAGGATCACCACAGCTGTGCAGGTTGTTCCTTTGGGTCTCTTTCCACACTGTCTCCACGCCATACAGCATTTCCCTTGGAAAATTTATTTATATTCACTGAGTTATCAGAAGTTTTTGAAAATATTCTTAGCTTGCTTGAATAATTTGTTATAATTTCTAAGATCATTAATTTCCCATGTAAAGGGCTTCCTCACAGTAACTGTATCTCTCTGTGCTTAACAGATCATTTATCTACCTAGAAACCTATGCAGAACTGTAGGATGTTTTTACCCTCCCATAGCTTTAATTAGTTTTAATTTCTTTTAGATTTGCAAACTGTCTTGCATCACATGCTATTTTGCTGTCACGAATGTAACAGAATGGAATATTGTCATTTGCAGCTGTTATAAAGACAATGGAGATAAGTGTTCCATACAATAATCTGAACTAGTAGTTGCTTCTCCTCTAATTTGTTAAAGGTGACAAAGGTAAATGTTCACGGAAAAATATGTCCCTTTTTCTCATCTGTGAGGGTTTTTTCATTATTTATTTATTTGTTTGTTTATTTAAAACAGCTGCCATTAGGCTTATTCCTTCGGAGTAACAAACACCCAATGCAGAACTCATATAATTCAGTACATTGAATAGCTTCCTGATGTTCTATACATAAGCAGACACAAGGTGTCTCTCCCTCTTTTTTTAATTTGAGAGATCACAAAAATGCTAGGAAATACTACAGAGCAGCCTATAACTTACTACTGCATCAACACCATGACAACTAGCTCTGATCAAGGCAGGCATCTGGAAGCCGGTCAGACCTGGCAGCATTCGGTTTGATCTGAAGCCCTCAGGAAACTGCTCCTGGAGACGGCAGGGCAGGGGCCAAGCCCTGATGCGGTTTGACAGCACGCAGAAGTTTTACCAAGAGGGCTCGACACCACTTCCAAAGCCAGTTTTCCCAGGAGAGGATGCCGAGTGCTGCCCTGAGCTGCTGCCGCAGGGCGGTGCCAGGCTTTCTGTCAGCGCCCAAGGAGGAACAGGCATTGCGGGAACTCCTCAGCACTTTGCTCAAGCAAAGTCTGCCACAAATGAAAACGAGCTAGAACACTCTCAGGAATGGAGCACTTGTTGCTGAAATCTGTGTTTCCTCCACGGATTTTAAATTATTCTTTTACTTCCCTTATCTGAAGATCATTCAGGTGCTAATGTTTCTCACATTAATCTCTGCAGAACCCTGTATTTATGCATCCTCGGTGCCTGCACATCCACACTGCACTAGCAATAACCACAGCTGATGGGCGTAAGAGGCAGAACACCATCACTTCTTTGCTCAGCTGCTGCTGACAGCGATTTGCAGTCAGATAACAGCACCTGACCCTGTCAGAAAAGCAGTGAAGAGGGTCAAGTGGACAGTACTAGAGTCATTGTGAAACTTGGCCACTGTCCCTCAGGAGCAGTGGGAGGCAAACTGCCTCCTAGTAGAATAGTAAAACATCGTAAGCAACACATTCAAATGCATCCTCATTCTTACCTTAATGAAAAAGGTAGCATCAAAGGCAACCTTTTCGACATGGGTAAATGTGTCCAGGCAAAGGAAAGAGTAGGAGCCTAGGGAATTTATCCAAGAGATGTAAACTAGAGGGCTCTAAAGCAGCTTGCCGTGTGAGTTTCAGCTATGTGCAGCTGTGTTTTGCTGCTCAAGAGTCATGGAGCGTGAACCTGCCATGCCATTCCTAACGTTTCTGTCAGACACAGAACTTACTTTTTGTAGTAATACAAAGTCTCCCAATGCCTCTTCCTCCCTTTGTTTCTGAATATTTTTGGTTATACACTTACATTCACTGTCTTCCCACACATCCTATTCCCTGCACCTTATCTGAAGATGCTGTTGCACATGGCTCTGCAGTTTTCTCTCTGTTTCTGCTCAATTGGCCTTCTGTTCCAACACCTGCTTGACTTTGGTTTTGGAAATGCTCATCGACGTTGTAAAGTCAGAAAAACACTAAAACTTGCAAAACATCATCACCTCAGGTGCACAGAAATCTTTTCTGTGCTGACTTATATTGTTATTGGTCAATGAAGGGCACAGAAGTGCAGACCTATGGTTTTACACACGTGCATAAGCTTTTGCTGATTTCAGCCAATGACAATGAACTAGATGTGCTTTAAAAAAAAACCCAAGAACCCATGATCCTCCTATCTGTGAAATGGCACATGCTTTGTGAGAGCGATCTACTTTTAGTTGATTTTTTCCCTAGAGGAACTTACAACAGGTAAGAAGACCAAAGAGGATGCGGTTTCTGTAATTATGAAGCTGGTAAAGGAAAAGTTAGCTTCACTCAAAATGTTGGTGAGAAGAAGGGTCATATCCACTGTGTCCAACCTCGTCTGTGCAGCAGCATGAGGCATGCTGTGTGCTGTGGAACTACTGCTGAGCCTTTTACAGAGCAAACCGCTCCAACCTGCCAAACGCTCCCTCTGAGACCCCTGCCTTTAAAATCTTTTCACCAGCTCTTCACAGAGCTGGCTGGGCAACCTCTCTCTGATTCTGATGGGCACCAGGGAAGTCAGCACACAGCCCCACTCCGCTTCACTCGGCAGAGAAGTTCCCCTCAAACCTCATCAGATGTC